TAATCACGTTTACGACATCCAAGGGAAAAGATAGGGTGGTATTATTCTATACCTACACCAGACAGTCAACGTCTTATTGTGTTAGATGGAGCATATTAGATTCGTGATTGTGTTCATAGAATTGAACCATACCGTTTGGTATATAGGAGATTGTCGTTTTTTTTATTGCTTCGATGGTTGGACGAGCTCACAGCCCACCTGGTGTTAAGTGGTTACTGGAGCCCATAGACATCTACGACGCAAATGTGCCACCCACCTTGGGATATAAAATCTAAGGTCTCAAGTATAGTTACAACGGCTGCTCCACCCTTCAAACCGAAACGCATTACTGCTTCACGGCAGAAATAGGCAGGGTGGTGGTACCCGTGCGGACTCACAAGAGGTCCTACCACCAGTAATAAAGTCGTATGCGATTGTGTAATGAGAGAGCAATGTATATTTTCGAATACATCGAACCGTTTACGGAATCATTGAAGGTCGTCTCAATCGAGTCATATTATCGAGTAAAAGTTCGAAAAGTTCACTGTTTTGAAGTGGAGAAATTTAAGGTTTTTTTTTTCTATTTATGATTCTCAAAAGCCGATTAACTTTAAATATATGTTACTTATTTTAACCATCAAAACCTTTTTGGGCATATTGAACTAGAAATCAATAAATCTATAACCATATTCCGATCGTTTGTTACACAATCACGCAAACATAGGTGAATTAATTGTAATTTTTTTTTGTTGTTCGGATATCACATAAAAACTATATAACAGATTTTGACGAAACTGTTGCTTTTAAAAGTCGAAAATAATACTTAAAAATTAAGCATGTTATATAGGCGATCTTACCCGAATCACACATATAAAAAAGCACAAATGAAGATTTACTAAGATCGATTTTCAAGAGCTTTCAGAGGAAATAAAAATAAATTAATAATAGTGTTAATAGTAATTTAAAATTAAATCGTTAATGCAAGTTTTTTTTTGCAAATCCGAATTACTATACGTTATTCAGTGGTATTAAAACTGTATATGGCTTAATGAAATCATTTTAAATTATGAAAAATTTAACTGCAATTTTGAGAATATATAACTTTTGTCTAAAAATAATTCCTGGCAGCCATAATTAAGGCATAGCACGGCGACCATGTTTAGAAAGCTTAATTATAATAAAAGAAATAATTATTCTAATGCCCGAATAACGGATACAATAAACAGTTCCGAATGTACGTGCAAATTTTATTCAATACTGGCTGACCCGGCAGACTTCGTAGTGCCTCAATCGATAAATAGAAGACCTAAACTTTTGTATAAAATAAACTTAAAACAAACAAAAGGAATCCGTCCGACGGGGGACACATCAAAGGAAAAACAAAATTGTTATTTTTAATTAATTCTGAGCATTTTCATATTTAAATCTACCTTTTAAACCTTGTCTGGACTTCCACAAATAATTCAAGACCAAAATTAGCCAAATCGGTCTAGCCGTTCTCGAGTTTTAGCGAGACTAACGAGCAGCAATTCATTTTTTTTTATTCAATATTTAAACAAAAACAATTCGTATCCCTCGAATATCTACGTAATTTCATGTAAATGGTTACAAATAATTTTTGCATTTTCAACCTCAGATATTGACTCTGATAGATACTCCTTTGCGGTAGCTATATTTCTATTATTTTTATTTTTATAGTGTAAAACACTGCAATTTTTAATTGAATTAGATTTTCTAGAGTATTATAATACGATACGAACCGGTTCTGATTTTGCTTTTTCTTTCAAAACCAAAAACTCTGTGCTGGCTTTTTTAAAATTTTATAATTTCTGACGTCGCAAACACTTTACAGTTTTCCTGGTCACGGATGACTAAGGTATATAATTCTTTGATATTTGAATATTGTTCTATATGTTTGTTTATTGTTTTTACTGGTGGTGGGACCTCTTGTGAGTCCGCACGGGTAGGTACCACCACTCTGCCTATTTCTGCCGTGAAGCAGTAATGCGTTTCGGATTGAAGAGTGGAGCAGCCGTTATAACTATACTTAACTTATATCTCAAGGTGGGTGGCAGGCACATTTAGGTTGTATCTATGGGCTCCAGTAACCACTTAACACCAGTCGGGCTGTGAGCTCGTCCATCTGTGTAAGCACTAAAAAAAATCTTTTAAATTTTTTTATAAACATTTTTACTCATTATTTTCTTTTATTGTAGCGTGAATATTTCTTTATCTATACTAAAATAACATAAAATAATTCTCTTTCATAATAAGCTATGATTATTTTTTGGACTACACAATCAATATTTGTTTTTCCGGACCAACCTCTGAAAGCTTAACCGGTTTTAATTGAACTTTTCATGCCGTAAACGTTTCGGGATCAAAATGAATCGAATGGAAAATATTGCAAAGAGAATTTAAAATTCTTGTATTGTATAATATTTTATCATGAACACTGATAATAATTAATATATAATAATAATGATAAATAATAAATATTCAATAATTAGAATACAAAGAGCTTGATGTACTTAAAAGATGCTACAGCGATTAAAAATACAATTTTAACACCCAAAATTATAGAAATTCTTTTTTGGAATTAAAGGGACGCATTTGCCTGTAAATTGTTTGATGGAGATATATCTGCCCAAAACTGGTATTAGTAGTGTATACACTTTTTGTTTTTTTCTTTGCGGCCAAGGAAAAATCGACTCGACATGTGAGGTCAACCTCGTCATCTCATTGTTCCCCTGGAGAGACTACAGGAGCAGCCATCTGTTCCGCTGTCCTTGTACGAAAAACTCTTTCCTCGCATTTCATCATAATCAACGTAAAAGTACATACCGACAAACACATTAAACGTAATGAATAAGTTGTTGTTATTCTCACCGAAACCTTGGTTAAAACCTCTGAGCCGATTATTTCTCATCGGTTTACAAAGGATGAAAAGGGTCTTCGGTCTTGTTGTTTGTCCTAATTTTAAAATTTAACACGGTCACCCCGGCCGGCTCGCTTTCCCTGCGTGGGAACACATACAACTGCTCAAATTACTTTCTCCGACTTGCCGAGACGGGGGAAAATATCCGACGTCGCTTCGAGACGTTTGTCGAAAAATACCTACCTTTCAAACAGGCCTTGTTGTGCTCGAGGAAAGGTAATCCGAAAACGAAACGCTTCAAGGGAGGCTCCACGTTGCTTTTCAGACTTCCTGATATATTTCGTTTTCCTGTATTTTCCTGTATTGCTTCCCGTGAATAATGAATGTGCGACAAAGTGTTTTTAACAGTTCAAACGCTACGGCATAATGGATTTCCACTCAGAACCAGCGATGATACTGTACTGAATAATTTAGTAATTATAGCTTTAAGTGTTTTATGGCAACGCATAGGTACACGCGTGACTTGTGCTACACTAACAAATATGTGTTAGACAAACATTGCGACTGAGAGCCACCTTTCAATACACCTTAAATTAATTTCTTGAAAACATTATTTTTTGAACGTTCGTCGAGGAGATTTTTAATAATTTATAACCCCTGTGACAAAATAAAACAAAATCATGAACACTATCAAACGCTTACAAGGATTATGTATTAGACTCGCTATTAATAGCCGTCAACGTACTAGTTGTTATTCGTTTTTATTTCGTTGTGTTTTACTTTCCTTTTGAGTTAAACTTGCCTATTTTGTTTGGACACTAGATGCATAGGCCTTAGGAAAAACTTAGATCACAACTTTACCACACAAGGCTGATCCTTTATGTTTCACTGGACACTGAGCTTTTTTTAGCGAACTCCTGACCTCACACACCGTACATGCCCGCAGTTACCTCAACTCTTAGCTTCCGACACTTTCAGCCTTCGATGATGATCTTTACGATTAGGGGGCGGCACACACGATCCTAGCGAACTTGTCTTTACGTGGAGTACTCTCAAAGGATGTCCTTTTTGGTCCTTTGAGGGTATTCACAGTGCGGCAATGGTGGGCGTTCGTGGCTGTTGGTAACGTGGTTGTGGGGCAGCGGCGACGTGGGGTGATTGCCCGCCGGCAGTTCGAGCGTTGTTCGAGGCCCCGAGACGGCCGGCGGTGCGCGCTCCGCCCCTCACGCGCTATGCTGCGCCGGACGGAACCATCCTCCTCCTCACCGAGAACGGCACCCGGCTGATGACGCGCGCCGCCGCCGCGAGCCTCCTGCGTGCTGCCCTCCTCTCCCCGCGTCCCTCTCGACCCCGCCACGGTGAGCCGCCGCCGCACCCTCTCTTCATCTTCTCTCTCTGTGTTTCTTTGTCGGATTCCGTCGCATCTGGCACTGCGCACTTCGCTCTTTGCTTCGTAAGGTAGGAGCGTGATGGTATTACCTATACTACATACAATAAGGATGATTTTTATGATAAACAACAACAATACGATACTCTGTATTTTACTACGTTTAAAAATCTACAAGTAGGTTATGTTACAATTATAGTTATATTTGTAGTATGTAGAAAATAAGTAACACCGTTATGTGCCAAGTACAATCTATACGAATTTTATTTGAAATAAAAACATTCGCTCCTACTTTATTCACGCATGCTTTTTAGATCATTGCTAATTTATCTTCTTCTGCATTTCCTATGTATTTTCTTTATATGCATAACGCTGATACATCTACTTTGAGGCCCGCGTTGCACGTCTGCATGTTTCTAAGCTTTTCCTACTTTCCTACGATCTCTATGGTTACTGCGCGGCATAGATTTGGCTTTGTGAAAATAGTTCGGGTGGGCCTGAAATTCGGAGGCTTTGCAATTTTTGTTTGAAAGGTTCAAAATCTTTGAATCATGACTTACGTTTTGTCATGTAAATGTCGTGTTTTTTTTTGTTGTCGAGATTATTGTTGTTGTCTGCTCTGGGTAGGGTCTGTTTCGTAATCGATGTCAGTTGCCTGATCGAGGGGCGCGAGAGCCTCACTTTTCGAGTCCTGTCGCGCCATAACTCGGTCCCCGAGCTTCCCAGAGCTAAGCGATTCCATGGATGCAATTCCAGTAAAGCTGATGTCGGATGGACGGACCACGAATCGAAACAGCACTGGCGTGACCTCGTGGATCGGCGGTATGTCTATAACCAACGATGGCAACCTGATCGCTCCGGACAAAATTATGACTCACATCCATCGTTACGCGAGCCCTCACTACAATCCTCACGGGCATCATTACCATCGATGGAACCACGAACCGGGGGGAAGTGAAGACCCGTTATACGCAACCAAGACGGTCTACGGAGCCGGATACATTGACGAGAACCGTACGTATAGCTATTCCTAAGTCAACTAATATTTCCGAAAATAAAGAAGAAACAATTAAAATGGGTAGTAACAACCGCGTTGTCACTGATAAAGTAGAAATATTGGTTGACAGTATTGACGATATAGACGGAAGGAAGGCAAACACTTTAAAAACAAACTGTACAATTAACCATAGATATCGTAAGACACACTATGAGCTTAAATACTGTACAGATACTAAAGGTTTCGAATCATCATTAAGACAAAGATGACATGGTTCATTTCAGCACTAGCCCCATTTGTAATTATTTTCAAGTGCTCTATTAATCTACCCTTTTATTATTTACTCCCTGTATCCGAGCACTATAGACTAGTTATTTCACAGTTTCATAGTTACTTTTAGATACTTTAAATACGAAAACAGAGGCTTTGCGTAGTATCAGGGTTTTTGATAAAGCTTTAGAACCCGTTGATGTTAGTTCTTCTCCAGATAGCGGTTATCGTGTTTTACGTTACAATAATAGATCTCTAGTTGAAATTTCCCGCAAACGAATCCTTCGCAAAGCTAATAAAATAATTCGTTAAACATTGGATTCCGTAGATGTTAATTGAAAAAAGAGATTCAGTTATTTAAATTAAAAAAATAATACACACATACACACTACTTATCGTCCAAATTGCTAATATTCTTATAAAAATAAAATCATACAAGATTTGATAGAAATATGAAAGAAACCATTTTTTTTTTTTGGAACAACTATTAAATTTTGTATGGTTCGAATTTATTACCAAATGAATTCATTCATTTTATAGTAAAAATTGCGCATGAAACGTTCATACTAAATATACTATGTACTTGCTTGTAATACAAAACTGACCATTGTCACTAACATTCATTGTATTCATCTATATTATATTTCTGATCACACAACGTATAGTATCATTCACATTTTTAAGTATCGTATTTAATATCGTATTAATAAATTTTGAGCATGATTCAAAGCAATATGAATATCAAACACACCTTATTCGAATTTATTATTTTTAAGTATTGTCAAGTATTATTTATTATTACTCTATGATTTTGTTTGTTTAAAGTTCAGTTTTAAACAGATGATTTTGAAGCGTTTATAAAGAAAATAGTAATAATTACGGATCCCAGAATGATTATGTATTCTAAAAATACATCGTTAAAATACATTTTGGCACAGAGCACACTATGATGATATATCTTGGTAAATAAAATAAATAAAAAATGTGGACAAATAAATTCTCAAACGTTTTGATTCGATTGACAGTATATTCATCTAGTTTGACGGCTTAATAGAAATATTTTGTTATTTTCTATTCAGCTCAACAAATGCCAGTATCGGTACTGAAAAAACACACAATTATAACGGTAAAAAAAAACGTGTGGCACTCGGGAACTGCCTCGGTAAAGCTATTGCATAGCATTTTTTATCAACTTATGCAATTATAATTAGACAATGATAATTTAATATTAAAACAATAATAAAATAAGACCACGCTATATTAAACATTAATAAAAGCAAAACCTTAACTGTCCCCTTCACACTCATAAGCTAGACCGCGCGAGAGAGAGATGGGCAGACTTTTCATGATGCGCATGCAGTGAGACGTCACGCCACGCGCTTATTCACAAACACTACACAAGCGCAACATGTGAATGTGTTGAACGCGAGCTACATGGTAGGCGGAGTGAGGGGTGTAAGGTTTTTTTCGTTACGGAATTTCATGATTCCGCTCTCAAGCCGCGCTCAAGGCCCGCGATAAAAGCTATGCAATAGCTTAAAAATCCATAAAACCAAACACCGCTATAACAATCACAAATACCCTACACATTTTACACAAATGCACTGCATAATACATTAAAGATATAAAAAAAATCAACAGAGAGAATTGGCAAAGAGAACGGTAAATCAGGTGATGAGAAAGCGGCACTACAGTCTACTTGCCATGTGGCCCTGGACGCTTGCATCAAGGACAGCGTGTGTGTGACGTCACTTACCCCAGTATTGCAGAAGTGTCACTCAACGGATTGCGACCGAGAGGGTTGCATGACCGCACTAAGATCTTTCTATAGGAAACCAGGCGTCCATTGGAATACGGAAATTGCCTTTTGTTTGTGCAAGTAAGTAATTTTTATATTTCATATACAATACATACGAGAATTGGGAAGAATTATTTCGGACTGTTCCATAAGGTCTATCTATGGGCATATGTGGCCATATATATTGTAAGAAGGAGCTTCGTTTTTTCTATTGCCTGACACATTTTAGTGCACAATTTGTATATATATACGTTAATGTGATTTTGAAAATATGAAACTCATTCTAAATGTCACTTTGGCCACAATACAGGCCTTAAATAATTATTGGAATGCGAATTTTCTTCAGAAGAAAATAGACCACTAACAATCTTATGGAAAGTTTTAAAGAAACCTGTTATCGTGTCGTTTATAGTTATAATGTTAAAAAGAGACCATATAGCATATATATATACTTTATCTGGCGGACAGACAGACAGAGTGAAAGACTCTGATGATATTAGAAATGGTCATTTGCTACCCACCTATGTATCGAACTCTGGTACTTAGTCTTGCTGATAAAAAAAATTCTTGTAAACACTGCCTGGTATTGTTAAGTATTTAGCTTCTGTCGCCAACAGAGAACGTTTCATTATACACATTAATAGACCAGTACACCTTCTTCTTTGTCGCTTCCTCATTGCTGAGGGTCATGACCACCTTGGTCCAGTTTTTGCACTAGCTTCCTCCAATGTTGCCTGCATTCGGCCTGCTTAATGGCGCCCGGGACGCTGGTGTTTGTGGCCTCCTTGACTATGTCCGTCCACCTGGTTGGCAATCTTCGTCGACTTCTCTTTCCTTCCACGTGACCTACTACTATTAATTTTTCCAAGTTGTCAGGATTTCGTCGGGCCACGTGTCCGAAGTACTTCAGAAGACGCTGCATACAGATCGTAGATAGACAGACGGGTCTTGATGTTTTGCTCCGAGAGAATTGACACATTTGTTCGACGCTCCATTATCCGTTAAAGACTTAACAGATGGAGAGTTTAAAACAATTCTCCCTACCTACTTTGTGTAATGATATTACAGGAATTTGGTTCTATTTTCACCCCACTCATGTCACAAGAATATTTGACAAAAGCTCGCGCGAAAATGAGATAACACAATGGATTATATTTGTTTTGTAATGGCAGTTTCCAAATTGGATGTTATTGTTTTTTTTTGTATCATATGTTATTATAGTTCTGTTGCGGACCTATATGTGAGAGAAGATGTATCTATGTGTGAGTGAGTATGAGCTTTAGACTTAAGTCTTTAAACGCGCGCCTGGTTTTAGGCCGTAACTGCAGCAAAGATATTGAAACAATAAACTTTATTTACTATTTAACACGACAATGAAAATGTAACTTCTTTCATGAATACCTTAGCATTCATTTGTGGCAAATTTTGTTACCCTTATAATACGTGTATTTTCTTCTAGAAAAACCGACAACCGTGAAGACTCCTGCATGAATGCTCAGGAGCGTCTACATCCTTCTTGTGCTCAGCGTCCTCCTATCGGCTCCCCCCTTCCAGCTTGCCACACCTTGGCTCATGCTTGCCGTGAAGAACCCGAGTGCAGGTCAGTAACGTAATAGAAAAAGATGTGTGGTGTCGTGGGACACCGGATAGGAACTAAGTTCCTTATTACAAAAATATTAATTTTAAGTTCTATTCTAGGTATAAAGAAAATAAAACTGGAGGTTCCGTAACAACCCATGGTCATTCGGTAACGTGCGAACTTATTGCGGTACACTTCATTCACGGTTGTTTGCATAAGAGTTAGTGTATTGCGCAAACGAACGCTCTGAGATCGTGGTCAATTAATGATAAAAAAAATACATTATTTTTTGTACGTTATTACAAAGTTAAGTCGTATACTGCATTACTAAAAAAAATCTTACGTCACGGACGTTTTTTCTCGGTTAGGGTTCCCCTCCGCATCGTCCCATAAGAAACTTCGTTCCAAGAAAAAAAAACTAAGACTCTTTTTTTAAGACAAACTTTAACTAAGACAACGTTTTTTTTTGGGATATAGAATTAACATTTTATCCATTATAAAAGAAATTCCTTGGATAATCCAAATCCTAACCTTAAAACAATTCACACAACTAAAAACAACAGCGATGGTAATCTTTCGTGACGATGAAAACTAGAAGGCTAAAAGCGTTGAAAATTACAGATGTAAGATGCTACAAGAATACGGCCCACTTGATGATCAGCAGTGCTCGATTATCTACAAAGGCAATAGTAATGCGTTTCGGTTCGAAGGGTGGGGTAGCCGTTGTAACTATACTGAGACCTTAGAACTTATATCTCGAGGTGGGTGGCGCATTTACGTTGTAGATGTCTATGGGCTCCAGTAACCACTTAACACCAGGTGGGCTGTGAGCTCGTCCATCCTTCTAAGCAATAAAAAAAAAGAAAAAGAAAAGTGTACTTTATTGTTTACTTGGTCACGGATGACTAAGGTGTTTTATCTTCGACATTTGAATGTTCTGCCGTCTATTTGTCTTGTCGTTCTGCCGTGTATTTAAAATCGATATCAAATAAATCAACATACAACAAAGGTGTTACACACAAATATAACGACATAGCTGTTGCTGTGTGAACAAGTGGCGATCGTGTGTGTGGTTTAATCGGGCATCTCTTGTATCTAGGTCAACAATTATGTCATCTAAACCAACAGTATAAACTAGAATAAACGAATCGCCTAGTTTAGGTCTAAAATTTAAACAGAATCTACTTTCATATTTTTGCTTGAAAAGTTCGATTTTTATTTTAAAAAAAAATTGCCTCCCTAAGCAATAAACACGGTCATTCTTTTTTGTGTTTGAGAGATTACTGATGGCCCGGAGGCCTTTCCGGTTTTACCAGGAGAGGTAGGAGATCAAGGGCTCAGCCAGGAGGGGTGGGATTTGCTAACAGCTACCCGGTCGCCTCTAAAGGAGACCTAACAACTCAAGAGCAGTTGCTTTGCGAATTAATCTACTACCGGATCAGAATCGCGACCCGCTGAGAAGATCTGGCGAAAAACTCAGCGATGTTTTAGGTTAGGTTACACGTCGAACTCTTTGCCGAGTTCGACGAGTACGGTAACCGGGGTCACTACTCCTAGTGACAGGGTCACTCATGGACGTCAGCTATGCCACGGGCTGGGCCAAGCCCCTGTATCAGATAAAACAATAAATTGGCTTAGATAATCAGAAAAGCTCACGGCCTTCTGTTTTACCGAAGTCCATACAAATTAAGACCTGAATCTCGCCATCACCTTCAGACAAGAATTCATAGTCACACATGTATTATATCCAGGCTGCCCATCATTCGTAGCGAAACAGAACAGAACAGATAAGAACAGCGTATTACTGCTTTGTAGCAGGAATGGTGGTACTACTTCCACGACGACGACTGGTGAAGGAATAATATCGCGTAATAAAAAAATCAAATCCGCAAAAATATTAACTTGCGTAATTACTGGTGGTACCGTTGTGTTGTGAACCCCCACGGGTTGGTTCATCATTACCTGGATATTTCTGCCCTAACTCATATTTAGAAGTGAGTGACCGCATTTACGTTACGTTAATGTCAATGGGCTCCAGTATTCACTTAGCCTTACACCAGTAGGCAACGAGGTCGTTCACCCATCTAAAAAACAAAAGAAAACGTCCAATGCAGCTCACAAGACGCCATACCACCATTAAATCAGATATAGAACATAAAAACTGACAACGATTTTCTTTCTAGAATCCGCTTGGAAAACTACGAACAATGGTGCGCTGTGGACGCTGTCACCCAAGGGTGTGCTGGATCTCCTGCAGCCTGCCGCGCCGCTGTGGTCGCTGTGCTAGGCACCCAGCTACGTGCGGCTTGCGCTTGCCGCGGCACTGACTTCGCCCAGCTATACGATTGCTTGGGCTGGCAACGTCTTCTATGGCTGAACCCTTGTGTCGGTAAGACAATCAAAGGACTAGTCTTCCTTTTTATTACCTTTAAATTTCTACATGCGGCTTACAGAGTTGAAACTATTCGCCGACCTCTGGACACTAAAAATCTCTGTACTATACTATTAGCTATTCAACCAAAAAACAAGAAATTTCCAATTGTCTAAAGGTAACTGTTATCTAACAATACTTTTTCAACGTGAACGAAGGTAGGTTTGTAATACGCTCTGGTACCGGTAAGCGTTTACAGATTAACGATCGCAGTATCATTGGTATAACTTAGGGAATGCCACTGCTTGTTTTCTGGTGAATAATTCAGTAGCCATTCATGATATCGACGAAAATCTAAGAGTTGCGGTATACAGGTCCTATTTCAACTTGAAAATGAATTGGTCTCATTTACATTCGAAAATTTCTCTCTCTCTCTCTCTCTCTATCTCTCTTTCTTCCCAGCTATCCTACATGGTGGTGGGGTCAGCTTTCCTTGCTTTACTCCTCCACTTCGCTCTGTCTTCGACATCCTCGTCAGCAACATTGCATTTCTTTTTGTCCTTCAGCATGACATCCTTCCACCTTGTCTTGGGTCTACCTTTAGGTCTCCGACCGGGGAGATCGAGGAATAGTGCCAAATTTCTGAGTCAGGGGGCTTTCTTTTTACGTGACCATACCATCTCAACCTACTCTCCTGCATCTTGAAAAGTTCATACGTCCAAATTAGCTAATTTGTGAACATCAAGTATGCTGCTCATGCATACTTTTAAAATTGGTCGTGTGGCAGAAGACCATTATGTTTTATCATCGTTATGCCCATCTGTGACAGTGTAACACAGTATATTCTAATGTTACATTTCCATTTATTCAATTCTCAAGGTTTTTCGGTTCCAATCAGAAAAGTTCTATGAACATCGAGAAAGTTTAGCAGCGCGTATGCCGTTACACGTGTCGCGTTTGCAATTGATGTTTTGCTACCCAATGCTAAATCTTAAAATATATTGGAATTACATGGAATTTTCGTGTAAAATTTTGTTTATTATATATAATATTATCAATGGAGGTAGGGCAGATGGTAAATTAAGGCCAGATCATCTAACATAAAAATTCCCAATCGCCTTGATACATAAGACCTAAATCTCAACTGCATTTGCAGTTCCAGTATGAGAATCCTATTTAAAAATAGCCTATAGCGATAACTATCGTGGAATATAAGAAACACATCAAGAACCTGAATCCCGTTATAGATATTGTCAAGATAAATTTGCATTTACAAAATCCGGATATCCACATTAGGTCTGCTCGGTTGAAAATCTCCCTTTTGTCTTCTTCTTAATCTGTCCAGCAATATTTATCGCTTAACTGAACCGTCGTACCAGGATAATTTTCAATTATTTGCGCTTCTCCAAAACCAACATACTACTTTTTTGCCACAATGAAATGAAATGAAATGAGTTTATTTCAGGCAACTTAAGCCCATAAAATTTCACATACAATTACATAATATCTAAATCAATATACAATAAAATTAAAATTACAATTTATCAGAATGACTAAAAACAAAAACAAACAAAAATGAAACCAAATCAAAATTATTAAAATTAAAATTGTCAACTACTAATAAAAAATTTAAATTAATAAAAGAACTAATACAATAAATAATGAAATAATGTTAACTGAGTAACCGCCACCATACGAGTCACTGTGTTAGCTTAATGAGTGACAGATGCTTATTACAACAGTGTCTTATATAGGGGCAGTCCAGTCTGTTTGCAATCAATGCATTCACATATTCTGGTCGGAATGATGGAGCAACTATAATTACTATACTAGTGAGGGCTCGGTCTGATGTCTCAAGGTGAGGATCAATATTCACTTTGGTGATGTCTGTGGGATCCGCTTACCAATGCACACCATGGGTAATGGTGAGGTAGCCCACTCGTCAAAATAATACAATAAAAACAACTAAAATAGCTATTGAATTATATATTGAAATATATAAATACTATCATTCCAGTTGAGTCCCAAAGTGACTATCACATCAAGACATATGGCTCGATCCTGACCACCACTCCCTATGACAACGGCATCCGGTACATCACAGTGCCTCCCGAGTCTCCGATCTACCACCGCACCACCACTAACCAACACCGCCACACCACTCATGGTTCATCCCAGATTGAGCATATTGAGGTATGTTTACTAATAATTTAATTTTTTTAGTTATCACCTAATTTTCATTTCCCAGTCAGATTCTCCGTCAGTCAGCATTTCTTTCAAAGATATTTAAGCGTCCGAGATCTATTCTTATCTCATACGGGTGTTTGCTACGTACAGAACAGTGGCTGGTGGTTTGCACTTTTGTGACCGGTGGTAGGACTTCTTGTGAGGTACCACTACCCTGCCTATTTCTGCCGTGAAGCAGTAATGCGTTTCGGCTTGAAGGGTGGGGCAGCCGTTGTAGCTTGTACTTGAGACCTTAGAACTTATATCTCAAGGTGGATGGCGCATTTACGTTGTAGATGTCTATGGGCTTCAGTAACCAGGTGACCTGTGAGCTCGTCCCATCTAAACAAAAAAAAAACACGGGAGATCTTTAACTGTTGAATGTGGACCACTTATTAATATATAAACGCCATTTCGATTCAGTATATTCAAGTCTTATTTTATGAGTTTTAGTTTAAGGTTCAATTATTTTTGTTGGAAGCCAATTCAAGATGTAATCGGCTCCGAATTAGAAAAGACATAATGCATAATTCTATTAAGCAATCTCACGTCACTCGCTCACTCACTGTCACAACGAGGATTCAGCGCTGTGGGAAATTCAGATCTAATGTTCTGTGATTTTGTTAGAGCGATGCATGCATACGTCACGGCAGCTCTCTAACGTTACACGTGGGCGGATAGGATAGCAAACAGAATCACACATTTAATTTTAAATAAGCCGAGACTTGACTACATCAACGAAAATGTAACTTTTTAACGGGATATTGATAGAAAATAAGACTACTTTCCGTATCTACCAATAATTTGTTATACCACAAATAAGCTATGTCAATTTGGGCGGACTATTTACTCTAAAAATTAAAAATGGCATTACGTCTAATATGAGAGGAAAATTATTCTAAATATTACTGGTGAAACGCGAAATGAAGTAATAGAAGATTTATTGTAATAACTAGCCGTATTCGCCCGCTTCGCTGGGCATTTAAAATTAACATTATTATTTATTGTCATTATTATCAGGGAGTCCAACACTCATATAAATATTAGCCTACCCATTAAGTATATGAATTTTCTAAATGGATAGCAAGTTTCTAGTCAATCGGATGCATAGTTCAGTAGCTATAACGGAACATCCTTAAAAACCACTGTAGATTTATATATTAGTATAAACAAATTCATTCGTTATTTAGCCATTATCTGATAAGTCTAAATTTGTGAGATCCATTATTATGGTACTAACAATCGATATTAACAACTTCCAGGAATCCCACGAAGTCCCGAGCCCGATCACAACGATGTCCGAACAAACCGTAGGTCCGAACGAAGTGGCGCAAATATCCGAACCGGTTGTGGAGACAACCACGGAGCCGACAACCACCACAACGACCACAACCAGTACGACCACGACCACTACAACAACCACGACCACGTCGAAGCCCACAACCACTTTAGAGCCAACCAAATACTGCATTGTGAAGAAACCGGAGAGTGATGACGAAGCGCAGTATATTAAAATGGGGGAAACGAGACGCGTAAGTTCCAGATTGATTAAAACACGTTATTGGCGTTTATGAATACATAAAGTTAAGGCTTACTAGTGCTAATTATTAGTTTCCATATTCAGAAAAGTCAAAGTCTCATAACAGCATTGGAATTGCTGGTTTGATTGGTGATACAGACAGACACTATACAAAAGCTTGAGATCCATGGTAAGTAGCAGCTTTCACGTTGTCGGCTTTATCCACTTAATTTGGAACCAATCATAACTTTATAGAAACATGATGCTACTAAGTCATATGAAAAAAGATTTATAGTAACAAATTAAAATGAGGCCCAGGTGGGCTGTGAGCTCGTCCACCCATCTAAACAATAAAAAAAAAACATCAAAATCTACTAAGACATTTTGGATTTAGCTTTAAAAGTTCAATGAAAAATTTAAGAATACCTTAAAAACTATGTGAATAAAAGAATTTGGTGGGTTTAAAATTATACCACGTAGAACCACGTAGAACGGTACTAAGCTGATATTTGATTAGTCCTCAATAATTTAGAGTTGTTTCAATTTTAAATTTAGCCAAATTGAAAAAGGTCAAATCCTTAANACGAAGCACAGTATATTAAAATGGGGGAAACGAGACGCGTAAGTTCCAGATTGATTAAAACACGTTATTGGCGTTTATGAATACATAAAGCTAAGGCTTACTAGTGCTAATTATTAGTTTCCATAACCAGAAAAGTCCAAGTCTCATAAAAGCCTGGTTTTATGGGTGGGACAGGCAATGCAATTAAGCTTAAGATCCATGGCAAAGGGCAGTGTTCACGTGGTAATGGCTTTATTCACCAAATTGGAACCAATGATAACTTTATAGAAACAAGATTACATCATAAGCCATATGAAAAAATATTCATAGTAACTAATTAAAATGACCGAATTTTAAATTCAGTCCATGTCAAGCTGTAAAGTGTGATGTAAAGAATATCCAGGTATCAAAACACTAACTTTAACCAATACAGTAGAGGGGAAATGCTTAAGCAGGTATTATTAGTAAAGCAGTAATTTATTACAACAAAATCCCCTGAGACACTTTGGATTTAGCTTTAAAAGTTCAATGAAAAATTTAAGAATACCTTAAAAACTATGTGAATAAAAGAATTTGGTGGGTTTAAAATTATACCACGTAGAACCACGTAGAACGGTACTAAGCTGATATTTGATTAGTCCTCAATAATTTAGAGTTGTTTCAATTTTAAATTTAGCCAAATTGAAAAAGGTCAAATCCTTAACTTTCGTTCGCAGTGGCCAAATTGCATTCCGAATTCCAATTCCAAAATTCAGCAAGTGCCTTGTACTTAAATAAAAATAAAAAAACTGATTCGAAAACTAATTCCAAATAAGTTTCATTCGATTATCATTATTTTTTGACACAGCTGGTCTTGTTCTAACAAATTTTCTAAACTATTTCAGTTGTATCGATCAGCAGAACTCGCCGAGTGCACGGACTTGTGCGTCTGTGAGACGACACTCCAAGTGTCCTGCAAAGTGGCTTGCGTACCGCGGGCGCCTTGCTCGTCCCGGCTAGCCCACTATTCCCATGCGGCTCCAGCGTACCAGGCATATAGGGGGAGATGCTATTGTTATTCTGGGTCCTTCATTTGTATGCGACCTAACCCAGGTGAGATTGAAAACTTTAAGGGCTTTATACAAGATATCACTTAGGGTTTGGTTGGTCACTAAAGTGTCTTCATTAAGCACAAACCGTAAAGAGATCGTTCTCAAAAAATAAACGTTTTGTTTTCAGGTGAATATAAACTTCCAGAAGGAGTTTATCTTCTATTAGGGTTTAGTGCTGTAGACGAAGCACTCCTGCGGCCGCACACAGGTCTTGGAGCAGAAGATGCTGTTAGACTACTTCAGCAATATCTTTACACAATCCATGACGAGAAGGTAAGGACTTCCTATAAACATTACAACATTCTGAAATCTTAATTACATCATCACATGTTTTCTCCTTCCACATTCCTCTATCATATACCATTTCTTCACTCACTCCCCTCTTACACATATCGTCTTTCACGCAAACCATCCATTTTTTTCTTAGTTCTACCTCTTTCTCTTCTGAAATGTTCATTACTAAAATATTTCAGTAATTAATCTACTATCTCCAATTAGGATTACGTTTCGATGAGATAAATGTAAATATTATGGAATAAATATTAATGTCAGAAAGACCAATAAAAATAGTATTTCAGAAAGGCAACAGACTTCAATCTGGAGTTTCAAGTTGGCGTTCAGATTGTGATATTTATAGAGTTCGGTAACAACTTAAAACGCATTAAAAAAGACACTTTGACAATTTCAGACAAACTGCACGTTGACTTTGTACAACATCAGCAATGAAAACGTCATAATATCAGCGAGCATTCCTCCGAAGGAGCAGGAGGTGCTGAGAGAAGCCGGGGAGCCACTGCTTGATAAAGAAAAGGTAAATTCAGATAATTTAAACTGATCAAAACTTAAGGTTGACGGAAACTTGAGCTGAACGTAAATTCGAATGCCATACACGTATTCATCTTAGGCAAACATGAAGAGTAGCTTTTCATTTACAGTAAACTGTACTTTACTGGTGGTAGGACCTCTTGTAAGTCCGGACGGGTAGGTACCACCGCCTTGCCTATTTCTGCCGTGAAACAGTAATGCGTTTCGGTTTGAAGGGTGGGGCAGCCGTTGTAACTATACTTGAGACCTTAGAACTTATATCTCTAGGTGGGTGGTGCATTTACATCGTAGATGTCTATGGGCTCCAGTAACCACTTAACATCAGGTGGGCTGTGAGCTCGACCAACCATCTAAGCAATAAAAAAAAAACATGCAAAAAATTACAATCTTCATTTAAGTAATATTCTAATAGAACTGGGCTAAATATGCCATTTCGTTTACAGGAACAATGCATCGACGTTCTAAAGATTGTCAAGTCTCGTATAAATTCGCAACACGAAGACATCTCGTCTCATCTCTTGCTCTCGATTTTCAAGATCGCCGAAGTGGATGTCGTGTACCCCGCTCCCCCCAGCTCGGCTGTCAGCCACCGGCCAATGAAATACCTCTACATCATTATCATTGTTATAACCTTTTTATACCACATCCAACAATCTACTAAAACTCTATCCAGTTTCACTCTCATCAATAATATCGTTAATCGGGTCTCGACTTTGGTAAATAAACCAAACGGACCTTCTAGTCAACTAGATGCTGTTTCATATATTAATACTTTTCTTTTTAATAATCTCATTAATTTTATGAACGCATTAAATAAAATTGATGACGTCATAGATGTTTATGTAGTATCTGTTGTGAACGAAGAGCACGATGCACGCGCTTTAGAAAACGCACAAAATGAACATATCACAAAAACCTATATAAGTGTATTAGACGTAAATAGTTTTAATGAAACGAAACATATCATGAATGCTGTGAGTATTACAATATATGATGATTTGAATGAGCCCTTTGCTGGTGCGATTATACTTAAATATTTTTCTAGGGATGTGTTTTATGAAATTGGATGTTGTAGCGAAGATCCTGAGAAGCTTGTCGATGAATTGTGTTTTGAAAAAATCGCGTCCTCTTCTTGTGGGATTATAAAATCCGTTAGCTTAGAACTAACTATAGTAGTAGTATGAAGACTGAGACGTTTAACCAAACATATCATAGTGATGTATTTCGTTTTTATTTTCGATTTAGGACTGGTGCTTGTAGATTGATCTTAAAGGCTGGGTTTTGTAAATAAGTGTATTACGCCTTTTACACTGTTAATATTTCGTTTGTTGTCTCCGGTAGCGTATTTAGCGTAATCGATTTTACCTCGGCTCTAAATTATTCATCAAACGCGTTTTTATGAGCACCTCTATCCAATATAACTGTTTTGTAATCAAACTTGTCACTTGAATCATTATATTCTTTATTGAATTTTATAGCTGAGCGCCGAAAAATAATTTACTTTAGACAAATTTAAGTGTAGTTATTCGGCTAGTTCGAATGTAGTTTTAACGCGCATTTCGTTTAGATCGATGTAAGTAGCTGTTATTAAATGTGAATGCACCATTAGGATGGAACACTTAGCAAAACTTTACACTGGATCGAGATTGTTTTAAACCCTAACAATTTTCATAAGCTTACATCGGTTAAAAAATATCAGTGAAAAGGTGTTCCGTGCAAATTGTATATGAATAAATCAGATAAAATTTTCTCCTATTTCTAAATTTACCGGTGCCTCGGTGCTTAATATCTTTTTGTTCGTCCTTCCCTCATTACTGAAGGTCGCGACCGCACGTATGCAAGTATTTCCATGAATATCGATCTGCTGCGAGGTGGACCGCCTGTTGGATGCTGCTTCCAATTGTCCTCTTTGCTCTGCCCTTGGCTTGTTCCCCGTCCACTTAACCAAGAATGAAAAGCTTTTCCAGACTCTGCCTGCCTGTCTATATTTATACCTCTAAACATAGTACGTATAGCAGTTTCTGGTTCCGATAGTAGAGAGAAACCCAGTTTGGCGCCAGATGGCTATTTCAGCTTCTCCTTGACGTGTAGGTGAGCTCACGAGGCTCAAACCGGAGTGTAACTAACAGTGGCCCTAGCAAGAGAAGTGCTTCGCAGAATCTACCACCGGATCGGAAACGCGACCCACTGAGAAGATCCGGAGAGGAACTCATTGGGCTGTGTCCATGGGTTAATTTACTCGTCAAGCCCTTCGTCGCAAGCGACGGGTTCGGCGTGGACGGTGACCGGTGCTTGAGGTACCTAAAAGCACCGTTAATGGATCGGGAGGATCCGTAATGACGTGTTTAGGGCAAGGGCTGTGGATGATTAGTCCCCGATTATACCTTATTATTTTTATTTATAAAGCAGAATTAGAAGTCAAACAATTACCTTACCGTTGTAAAGTTTTGCCCATGTGCTTCAAAACTTACGATAGACACCTAGATATTTCTGAGGACGTTACACAATAAATATTAAAAAATGTAATGTATTAAAAATGGTAAAGTGGAAAGCTTTAATTTGATGTAGACATAGATTCTTGTGTTCCAATATTCGAAGTGTAGTAATGTGATTGTATGACGCTCCGTCTAAGTACTTAGTGTGTTGGCGACGACAAAACAACTAATAATTATCCTTTGGATTCATTATCATTGAAATCTAAGGCAAACTAATTATCCCATCCATCAAAATATCTCCCATCAATCAAAGTAATATGTCAAGTTGAATCTGTTTACAAATAAATTTGATTTAAGTAGGTGAATTAACCTATGCTAATGAGAAATGTGAATATGTTTATATTTTTATTATTATTTATACACACAGACACACATATAAACAGATAGACCCTTTTTATAATTATCTAAACGAATTGCACAATGCTTATAATCAAAAACAACATTCCTTAATATTATACTAAGCAGCCATTCATTAATAACATTAAAACGATATTGGTTATCAATCCCCTCATAAGAACAGATAAGATTCCCCGAACTACCCCTTTCGTACCCCTACGTAAGATTTTAATTTAGTTTTAAAAAAAAATTAACTGTCATTTGGAAAAGAATGGGGCTCACTAATAACACTCTAGAAATCTACTAGAGTTTAAATAAATAGCTAAATATTTTCATTAGACTGGTCCACGTACTGAACCAGACGTCATCTCTTGACCTAACAACAATATATAATATAATATAATACTAAGGCTTTTGAATTATTTATTTAATATTTGTTCCAAAAAAGGGTGTAAAGAGCGAACTTAACGCCTTACGGCAGTCTCTGCCGGTGAACCATAGGGTCGAAACACAATTAATAGGGTAATACATATAGGAGCTTAAACTAGAAACGGAAGAGGAAAAATAACATTTAATTTACTTATTCATCAAATATAACTAACACGTTGGTACTATTATAACTTGTATGTGCACGTAAATCGGTTATAATCTAAAGGCTCCAGAGAATATACAGAGAATATATATCTTTTCACGGTAAGGTATGTACATCTATATATCGGAAAACTTTATAGTCGTCGTCAACATAGAATGCTGTAAATGTGTCCATACACTGCTGACTAGTAATGTTGTTTAGGAATAAATTCGCATCTATGGTGTACTAGAACCGCTCCCGATAATTTCAATCGGAGCAACATCTAGTTTCTATATCATTAAAAAGTATATTACTGAAGTTTATAGTTAAAAAAATCCTAACTTTTTTTTAATATTATGCAACATTAACATAATACAATCAGTATAGTATTGTTTCTCGGGAACTTTTCCAGAGCACCATGTATCTGTAATTGTACATTAAATTTTAATTTTAAATCTATTAGTAGCGAAAGATAATTCTTGTTTTAACGCAAGCGTAATTACATTTTTGTACAAAAACAAAAAATGTACGCAAAATGAATTTTAAATTACCCACATATTAACCTGACTGAATTCCGTTTTGGCAAATTAAAAAGATACTCGATCTCGATAAATCTAAAAACCTATGAAAGATAAGATAAAAAGATGAAAAAGGATTGGGAAGGGCCGAAGGTCTACTGCTTAAACTGTTAAAAAAAAACGATCGGAAGGTAAAATTGTATGTTAATTTAAAAACTATGACGAACATAACGAATAAGAAATGAAATGGAATAGAATGGAATGAAAATCAAATGGAATGGAATGGAAATGAAATTATTGAAATTAATATACCTAAATGAATTTATCTTTGAAAAAACTCTCCTTTCGTGTCCAAATTGTAATTCGATACATTATTCCCAAAGAGTAAGTTACACCACAGTAAAATTCTAAGCATCGTCAACATGATAATTCCTTCGTGCTTTTACCACAACTGAATTTAGTCAGCGACACATATGTACTTATATATGTATATCGTTATTAATATTTTTCCTGATTTAGATATTAATTGTTGTTTTTTAAATGTATATTACGTAATTTAAGAACACATTGTTATGATATTATTGAAAGATCTAAACGATTGGATTTATTTAACTAGAAACTATTTTATAAATAATACTACTATTACGCATGAGTTCGTTAATTATGATTACATTTACAGTACATTCTTCTTTGAGTTTGTAAACTTTGATTATTTTTTTTATTTTATTATTATTTCGTTGTTCTAAAAGAGGGATTTGATAAAAAAAAGACGTTGAAAATGTATCTTTTTTTCTGTCCAATACAATAAACAATATCATACCAGTAGATGAATTACAAGCACAAAAAATATAAAATAATCTATATTTCTAAAACATCCGTTTATTTTAAATAATTTTTAAATAATTCCACAGGGATGTAAAAATCTTATTATATACGACGACGATAAGCTCGGATTATCAAAAAGATTAAATAGAATATTATACGGCATTATGGTAATACCAACGGTAGTAATAACCTAAGCGCTCGTTGCATGACGAGTGATACCGGATGCTTTCCAAATAAATAATGTTCACGAACAACTTCGATGGAAGAATTCGTTCGTCGTTTATAATAAATTAATATTATAGAGTACTAATTTATTAAAGTACCAGGGGTATTTACATACAACGTAGGGACGCTGTTCAACTCCATACAAATTACAGTTTACTTTTACGCGATCGTGAAGTTAAAAGACTCGCACAAAGCATGGTAACCGACCCGATTCCTAACAAAGACTTCCTAAGAAATAACATTAAAGTTGCATCCAATTTTACAAAATTTACTAGTATTTGGTGGTAGGAGCTCTTGTGAGTCCGCGCGGGTAGGTACCACCACCCTGCCCATTTCTGCCGTGAAGCAGTAATGCGTTTCGGTTTGAAGGGCGGGGCAGCCGTTGTAACTATACTGAGACCTTAGAACGTATATCACAAGGTGGATGGCGCATTTACGTTGTAGATTTCTATGGGCTCCAGTAACCACTTACCACCAGGTGGGCTGTGAGCTCGTCCACCCATGTAAGCAATAAAAAACTTGACTTGGACCAGAGTTTCTTCCCTAAAAAAAATCACTTATACTGTATTTATTGAATATCATACGTGTGTTTAATTCAGTTCAGACTATAAACTCTAAAAACCTCAAAAGAATGTAGTTTCTTTAAACAAAATACACAATCCCTATTCTAGAACACTAACCTTAAGAGAATTTTTACAAAAATAAATGATTCGAAATTATGCTTTGTAACGATTACAATATTTTCTTTTGCAATTATTACGTAAACTCTATAGTTATATATTTAGGGTAACACAGAGGTCTGTGTGTCATTGTTTCAAATTATTTAGATAAATTTGTTTGAAGAAAAAAAATTGTATGAAAATTCGTCAAAAACTGAAACTATACTAGGGAAAATTTTTTTGGACTAATTAAAAAAAAATTGAATTGAAAATCAATGCAGTGAATTCAATTAATAGGTAAACTAGAATTTGTATTTATTATTTGTATTTACTTTTTCACATAATCTCAATAAAAACAGATACTGTTTATTTTAAATAAACTAACCTTAGAATTAAAAATGATAGTTTCAATGACGGATTTTCATAGTACAACTTTGAATATTTCACCTTTCAATGTAATAAGAATGCATTTATTTTAAGGTAACCTTTATTTTCATATATAGATAAATAAATGTATAGATTTAATTGAATGCACACTTTATCTAAGATGGTTATGGTTTTAGAAAAATTCAAATGTACAAAAGATAGTTTTTTGTTAAAGTTATGTTATCGAAAATAATTGAATTTGCTTTTAACATTTAAGTTGAGACGACAAAAAAAACCTCGTTCATTGAATATGATGATATAATTTGGTATCACGTTTTTTATGAAGAAAAAAGTATAGTTTACGTTTGAACGCTCACACAGCTCTTTTTCACTATCGCAGGACTGCGTGTCCAACGCGTGCGAGTTCACATTTATGCTTAATGATTAATTGCAGTAGGCTGCAGCTTGGCACTGCCCCTGGCATTGCTAAAGTCCATGGGCGACGGTAACCACTCACCATCAGCCGGGCCGTATGCTGGTCTGCCTAAAAGAGCCATAAAAAAAACACAATATTTTTATATATTATTTGGTTATTTCTTTGAATTTATTACAAGACACTATTCCTTAGGTACAGCGCTATTTAGAAAAACGATACCTGTTACTAAGTCAATAATTAACCCTTATTAAATAATTGGTTTAATTGCATAATCACATTACACCGATTGACTTGATTACGCCTAAAACCTTTTGTTTTGTTACAAACAGAGCGATGTCTACAAAAATGAAGCTTTGTAGCTTGACGTATGACGTCACTTGTGGCTAAATTTATTTATAATATTCGTAGGCTCCGAAGGATTTCAACGCATTATTTGCTTATATATTTATATGTATGTATAAGTTTTATTGAAAGTTATGATTCAAGAATTTAAGTTTAGGTATTTTAGATTACTATAGGCCCTCAGATTCTTGCATATCGATTAAATCACAACAACTTGGAATTTAATTGATTAAAAATAAAATTCAATTTACAATTTTATTTATTTTGTTTGTTAATTAACAGAATTTACAGTTTGTTCAATATTCATTTAGTGAAAAATCTGAGTGAGCATAAATCTTGAGTTTGTATTTCGATTTTTCGTTATACTATAACG